TGGAAAATCAACACCGGTTGCATAGTGTACCTTTAAAGGACTTTTCCTTTAAAACTGTACCTGCTTTTTGCTTTTAACATGTTTTCTCCAATGATTATTTTATCTGGTTTACAACTTAAATAGTCCAGTGCTCATAAAGTGATTTTTGTTTGCTTTAACACCCTTCTTTGGAATATTTTAAATCTTTTAAAGGACTGTAAACATTTACCAGATAAAGTTCTTATTGTCACGGTTGGGTGGAGGATTAACAGGACCCAAATGCAGACACTGAAGCTGAAGGGGTTCCTTGAAGATTTAATAATAAAAAAGGGCAACAGAAGCAAAAATCCAAGAACAAAACCTGAGAACCAGGAATCCTCACAACAAGAGAGCAAAGAAATGACCACAAACCAGCAACAGTGACTGAACAGGAGGAGAATATATGGGAGAGGAACAAAGATCAGGCTGATTAGCAGATTGGGAGCAGGTGTGAACAGAGCAGACTAGAAGGGAGCTGGGGGAAGGAGACTGACACAAGAGGGCAAACAAGAAATATCTAAGAACTGAAATACAAACAAAAATAACTAGAATAAGACAAAATGGAAATAAAACCAATGGAAGCTCAAAGATTAAACATGGCACCTATTGATCAGGAAACTCATCTGAAGTCTCTGACCGGCTGTTTTATGTTGTTTTGGTTAAATTCTCACTGTTTTTCGTTTTGTCTTTTTTTTTTCCTACGACATAAAATTGCAGAGAATGAATCATTTCTCTAAATGCCTTGGGAAGAAAAACAAGTGCAGAGAGAAAAGGCTCCAAATGGAGCAGATGTTGCAGCTATTAGACACAAAGACGTAAAGAATTACCTTGAATTTAAAGTCATTTTCTGTCATTTTGCAGCTCTCAGTCATGGTGGATTAAAACATATCTTTGGTGGAAATTCGGGGAAACTGAAGCTTTTTTCTCTTCGCATGGCGAGTTTCAGCTAAATTTGAACATTTAAAAGTTAAAACTTCTCCTTTTAGCGCCTCGGTGCGAAGACTTCAGCTGATGTCTCATTAGAGCTAAATAAAGATGAAGAGTCCTGCTTCCCTCTGATTCCTGCCACTTTCAATCCAGCAAATGAATGCGCCATTAGCCCCCCCCCCCCACAGGAGAGCCCACTCTAATAATGTCATAATGGGGGAGTGGGAAGTTTCCAAAGTGTCAGCAGCAGCAGAGCAGGTTAAATATCACCCTCACCTGCCGTGTTTGGTGGAGGAACCCGGATCGGCCGTCAATCACGGCTATAAATGAATCATAATTATTGTAATTTTGCAGAGGGAACATGCTGGGGGGGGGGGGGAGCGGCCCAAAGCCCAGCCCCAACCTGTTGGCGGAGCTCCGGCTGGGGAGATAACACGCTTACCGATCCACACACGGCACAGCCGGAGGCTAATTATCAGCCAGTGAGAGCCTGATGCTGTGGCCCTTCCAGGCCACCGTACCGCTAATCTTATTACACCTCCCACCTCCTCCATGGGAGCCTTCTTCCTCCCACTGGGATATTTCCACCTATTCTGCTACGGCCAGTTTCCCCCCAGCTTCAGCATCGACAGAGAGACAAATAGAACGAAGAAAATGAACAACTAGAGAGATTAAAGCAAATTCATTATTAGAGTAAAAAAATCATACAGAAGAGGATAAGGGCCACTGAAAATAAAAAAAGTTATGATTTTTAAATATTATTTCAGTTTAATATTGGGAAAAAGTCAGAATTCTGACTTTAATCTCAGAGTTCTAAATTTAATCTCAGAATTCTGACTTTAATCTCAGAGTTCTAACTTTAATCTCAGAATTCTAACTTTAATCTCAGAGTTCTAACTTTAATCTTAGATTTCTGACTTTAATCTCAGAGTTCTAACTTTAATCTCAGAGTTCTAACTTTAATCTTAGATTTCTGACTTTAATCTCAGAGTTCTAACTTTAATCTCAGAATTCTAACTTTAATCTCAGATTTCTGACTTTAATCTCAGAATTCAGACTTTAATTTGATAATTGTAGATCTTAATGTAGATGGGCCCCATTAAGGCAGAGATGTGAGTGGTTTGGGAGGAACAGGAACAAACTGGTGGAAAATGATGGAATTAAGTGATTTTTCCGTCCCTGCTGATGCTGTTTGATTAATGGAGGAGCAGAAGGAGATTAAAACCAGAGAACTAGACTCTAAAACAGACATGGCTACGGCTGGATGCTAACATGTTTGTTAGCTGACAGATTAAAGTCAAAATTCTGACTTTATTGTCATGTTATACTTTGATATGAGTTTTATAAAA